TAAAGTCGTTTTAACCATCAAGGCAATCTAAAGCTAAAGAAAGCAAGCTGAATATTTTTTACACTGAGGCAATTTCGATCTCAACGGATCTCTTCCCCCAAGGCTTGGGTTGAGTTCGCTTTGGGTTTTGATCATTTTTATGATTGCAGTCACATGGCGATAAGTTGCCCAAGGGGGAAAAAACCTGAAACCTGTTCCGCCATAGAAACTTCGTTGTAAACATTGAAGTTTGACATAACTCGTTATTGGTCTCGACAGTTTTTACCCTTTTAATAAAACCCCGAGTCAATTAAGCTTGACAAGAGCAACTCAGTCCTTAATTATTTTGAGACTAAAAAGCCAGGACTTCAACTTCGTTCGCGCTCAAAAGAAAAGCCAGCCTAAATTACCGCACGGAAGTCGAAAAAAGTACGGGTTTACTAATTAAAATAGTTTCAACGATTTCATAAGGATTAAGAATTCTTCAACACTCATTGATTTAAAAAACTCCTTGCGAGTGTTTCAAGGTGCCTTTGAATTTATTTAACGTGAAAACCTGAAAAAAAAAAACCCGGAAGCGCTCAAGATCCTGCCGAGTTTTCGAACTTTGAGTTCATTTTTCGCAAAGTTTCCAGATATTCTGATCGTGTCCGGCGAAGAGTAACTTGACATTATTTAATCAGCTTTTGTATTGGTGCTTAACATGTAAATAATATGTTGGCTATGCAGTTCGCTATGTCGGCTGCAATTTAGCACGTGCATACGCATCGCTTTGAGAAAAGTCTGGCTTTCACTATATACAGCCAAGTTTTTCTGTATCAAGTCTCTCTGGATACAGGTTCATTAAAACCTGGAAAGTAAGACACCTATTGTCATTGGTTCCTATGTTCTGTTAGAACGTCATAATGTTATACGGATAGTTTTGTAGGTCTCCGTTCCATCGCAGTTCTTCAGTATTAAAGTTGCAAGTTGCTCGCACGTGCGTCGAGTGGTTTGCTGCAGGGCGGATAAATGTTCGGCGGTGAAACGAGTGCTCCGCTCTTCATTTAATGTGTGATGCGGAGTAGGACTGGCACGAGCGCTCTTTCCGCGCTTCCGGTGCGCTCGAAGGCCGGCGAAATTTTCCTTTATGCAAACCGGAAATCCTATTTTCTTTCTGTAATTTCAGGCTACTATATTAAATAGATAAATTTGTTTCATAACAATATCAATAAACAGTTTCATATGTTTGTGTCTGTACTATAAGTCAAACTCGTTGGTCGTATAATACCAAAATTTGAGTTTAATTTGAAAGTGTTGAATATCTCCTCCTTCCACTCAATATCACCTAATCGTCTTTCGCCGTTTCGTTTGCAAAAGCTTAACACTTCTTAACCTTAATTTTTACATATACTAAAGGGGGATAAATTTGATATAACATAAAAAAAAATTAGATTGATATATTTTGATATAATGGCGTTGTACTGCTTCAAACTTTGCTTCTCGGGTGCAACGCGCCATGGCGATCCGCGCAATGCGTCGCAAATCCGGCAACTGCATGTAAACAAAATTTATTGAGGTTAGTTATCAGATTTTTCCTCCGTTTTTCTCTCTAAAACAAAACAAAGTAAACAGTAAAAACTGAGGGGAAACTAATTTTGAAGACATATGAGATGTTTTTTTTTTCACAGTTAAAAATAAGGATGATGGAGATTGCAATTAGCATAATTTCACCTTGCACGAGTTGCACGCATTTATAAAATACACATAATCTAGTTATGAAACGCGATCTGCTGTCTTTTAGTTTTGCCATCGATGACATGGATGAGATTTTCCTTCGTGTTTTAGACAGTACTTAGTTGTTTTTGTTTTGGAATAACATCGACATTGGCGAGTAGTAGAACGAAAACATAATTCAGTGGTAGAATCATGGAAGTAATGAGAGAAACCCTTTGAAAGAGATGTTTGTCTACTCCAACTAAACCTCCCGCAAAAAATAGAAACATTTGCCTCTCGGAGACAGCGTACCAGCACAAAGGAACGAGGAAGAAGTGCAAGAAAACAAATCAAGCCGCCATAATTCAGTGACAGCGGCAGTGTCTAGTGGACAAACCACATCGCAAGCCCTGACCGAAGTCGAAAACAAGCGACATTTCTAAGCAGAGTCCCAGTCCACTGCATCACACCTTTTTGCTCGGACGCGCTCGTTTTATCCACCCTGGTAGCAAGTGACGAAGATCCCGCGTATGGTGTGACTCCCGCGTAATTTTATCCAATCAGAAGTCAGTATTCACACAACTTGTAACTAGCTGATTTGTCGCAAGACAGGTTTTTTGCCACCCCCCCCTCCCTCTGAGGTTTTTTTCAGCGCAATAGCTGTTCGTTCATCCCTCACGCGCATTTTGAGATAAGTTTAGTGATGGTCAGTTACTATGGTTACGAGATATAGCGTCATAAGTAGCAGATGGTCAAGCCATTTTCGCGTGAAAATGCATGTTTTTTCAACTTCTTTCAACAATAAAAGTAAAGCCGGTGGATGAAATGATGCTAAGTGCTTATCTATATGTCCTTTTACATATCAAGCATAAAAAATTACCATTTATCGCGGTTTTAACCTGATTTCTAATTCTTTGTAAAATCCAAAATGGCGACCGTTGTTGGTGACGTCACAGGCCTCCAGCAGCGCCACCACCCATAAAATATACCTCATCTTGTAGAGAAGATCAAAGGCTCTCTACTGAAGCGAAAATCGTTTCGAAATACTGCAACATATCAAAAACTCTGGGAAGGGGTTCCAACACCACCCCCCCCCCCCGTGCCTTGTACCACGGTGGGGGTATGAATTTGCATGTACGTCCGAGGGTTAAACGTGTGTGGTGCCTATAAACTGCGATGCTCTTTCACGTGTACAACTGATGTATGAAATTCATATTTTTATTTTCATGGTGCTCACCGTATTCAGGATTTCTTCAATCATGTTTTTAGCTCTTTGAACCTGCTCTGCTGTCCCCCGCAAGTGAGCAAGATTATCTTTGATGAATATTTGAACGCCACATTCTTCTCTGATTTCTTTCAGTCTCCTTCCCTGACGTCCAATAACAAGTCCCACTTTTTCCGAAGGGATCTGTACTTGTTCCTCTTGGTCTGCTAAAGCAGACATAGAGCTATCGTACCAGCTCGATTGACCTCTGGACCTTCTTTGCCATCCTCGGAATCTTGACATGACTGAAAACATTAAGAAGAGTCTAAGAAGTATAGTTACTGTAGCTGGGTTGTGTTGTTCAAGTTTAACTTTAGTTTGTGCCTTGTATTTGGCCCTTTTCAAGTATTATTAGGTGTTGTTCAATTTGGAAGCAAGGATTTGCACACTTAGTTGGTTATTGTCCAGGGGTCATCCACTAGAATAGCCTTTGATATTTGGATGATCCCAACTCGATCTCCATTTTGTTGTAAAACTGAGCTGAGTTTAATACATCATCTTGTCTGGTGACGTCAAATCCTTCGGGCTCAGGTTCAGTTAAAATCGTCATTTTGTACTATGGACGCTTAATTAATGGTAATCTAAGACAGTCTTGAATTCTGAATTCCACGCTATAGATTCCGCATTCCAGATGCTGGCTTCTCGCTTCCTTCAGGCAGTTGAACTTGGCTTTTGGATTCCAATCGCTAGCGGGAAAATCACGATCACCTTACATCGGGCGACCTTTAATACGACAACCCTACAGTTTGAAGATGTGAATTCGTAGTTCTCAAATTGCCTAAAATGGTGCTAAATTACGAAGAAAGCCCGTCAAAAGGAATTAATTATTTATGTATTGATAATACAAACCTTCTTCGTTCAGGAAAAGTTGGACTTTCTGATTAATACCTTTTTGTAAATTTAATAGACTCCACTACGACTGAGAAAACATTCCAAGTTAAAACAAAACGTCAGGATTGCAATATCGCCTCTTCGGACCCGAAAACGCTGCTGCGACGGAGCGATGAGAGGCGACTGGTTCGCAGGCTACAAATAGCACGGAGGGTTTACACGAGTGCACGTCTGTCTTATCCAAGTTTTGTTACCACCCCATTTTAAGACAGCTAGTATTCAATGCGGTCCAGGGTTTGACAGCGTAAAGGGCCAAACAATTTTGATAAGATGCAAACAGCGAGCTAGCTGTAAACCAACTTTTTTTATTATGTTTTTTTTTTAAGTATTTTGTCAATAAAACCGTTTTGATTTCCTTGAAGAACACTACCGTGACAATGCCTTGTCACGCAGTCTTTAAACATGATTGTGTAAGTGTGACGCCCTGAGAGTGAAGAACGTACCGAAAGTTCTTCAATGAAACTCGTTTCCTTAACACGGCAGCACGAAAACAACCCGTTGTGTTATTTATGTGTGATGGGTTGTGTTATTCGCATAAAATCAATGAAAAAATGTACCTTGACTTCCGCAACGCCTCGATTTTGAAACGAGGCAAAATTTCCCTTCTCTGCCCCTGTAAGAAGGAATTTGTCGTGTTTCAAAATGGTAGGCGAATGGCTCGATGTCACCGTTCTGCGAGATGTCTGTCTATTTCAGGCCTTGTTTTGGTTACTTATGGTCATTTTATCACAGGAAACGGAGTCTGTCTTTGTTGGAAACAACAATAGAATGTCTTCGAGTTGGAAGATTCCGGGAATTTGACCTTTAAGGTAGTCTGTACACGTATTTCCCGGAAAGATGGTCTCATTAGCATATTATTGGCTCCTAACCGGAGGCTACAAAGGAGAAAAATGTATGAGGTGTTTCTGGGCTTGCCTTACGCGACAATGTATTTCAACTGTATGGGAGCTAAAGAAATTTGGAAGTATAGAAGGAGCTTGAGATTTTGAAGACATGGAAGAACTTGAAAGAACAGAAACTTTGGGGTGACATTCATGGCAAATCACCTATCCCTCCCACAGGAATAGTTGAAAGTGTTAATCATTCCCTTACTGGTGATGAAAATATATCAGTCGTCAATATGGCTTCAGGAGAGGCCAAGAAGCTGGTGAGATATCTACAACAGTTGGGTATTTGCAAGAATCTGTTGCTGTTTCGCACTTTGGAGGAAAACTTCCAGGCCTTTTTGACAGATGTGAAGGTTCCATCAGGATTTGCAGACAATGATTACAAACTGGAGCCACATCACGAAACGTATAAATTCCGCCGCAAATTGGTCAAAGAATTTATTGATGTAAAGAAATCTAAGGATTTTCGCCTAACAGAAAATTCGCATTCCAAACAGTTCTTTGATGAACTCAAACAGTTTGTAGAATTATCAGAGAATGAAGGAAGTTTTTCCGATTTTGATCTTGAGCAAACAGGTAGACTGCAGAAAATTGATTTGTTTGAGGAAAATGTTAAAGTTAAAGGTGTCGTGGTATGCAAATTTAGTAAAAAAGCAAAGGTGTGTGTTTTGATAAAAACGAAAGATCCCTGCAGAGGACTAACTGGCAGTTTCTCACTGTCTGAAGTCTTTGTTGACCTTCGTGAGGAAGATGACACTGATCATGAAGGATTTCATCTTAAACTGGCTGTGGGAGACATTGTAGAAGTAACAAAGTGTAGAAGAAAGGAGGGAACTGCATTGGAACCAGATATAGTGAGGTAGGTCAACAAATATTTTAAGTATGCAGGATCATAGAAAGAATTCTCACAAAGACAAAGCATTGCATGTAGTAAATGCCAAGCTAAGGGTACTTATGGTAGTGGAGATATAGGCTATACCCTGGAAGGGTATTCCAAAATATAGTGTGGGATTTGCGAACCTTTTAGGGGATATGGGATTTGGTTTTGCTACCAGAACAGGAAGTGGGATTGACCAAAATTTGGGCACGGGAGCAGGATTGGCAAAGGTAAAAACAATGGTGATACAGTTTATGTTGGAAGTTCTCTAACGGTGCACAATTCTTCAAGGCTGTACTCAAAGAAAAATTGAAGGATTAAGCCAAGGGTCTGTACCTGTGAAATCCAGGGTGCCCAGAAAATTATTTCTATGAAAAAAGCTAAGATTTTCTGGTTGCCCGGCAGCAAAAGTTACGCCAGAGGCCACTGGGTGCTGTGGGCGTCTGGAAAAGCAGGAAACCGGAATCCAAAATAGGAACGGGAATAGATACAGAAACCGGAACCGAAACCGGAACCGGAAACGGAACAGGAACAGTAATGTGAGTGGGAACCGATACAAAAACAGGGACATCATTTACCTTAATTTATTTTAATTCTTATTCAATTTATATGAAACATAAGAAAACTAGCATGGTATCATGCTCCCCCTGAATCTCTACATATTACGGCAACAAGAAGGTCAAAAAAGCAGCAAGTTTAATAAGTAAAGCAACAGCTTTGCAAGTGCATCGCGCTTTCTGTGTATATGTTCACTGTTTATGCACAACTACGACATGAAGTGATCAAATCTTATTAAGTTCTCTCGAGAAAGTGAACGGCAAGGCGATAAATTTTATTGTGTCTCTCTGAACTTGGACGCGGTCTCCAGCTTTATTTCCCAATCTTAAAGACTGGACAATTCAGATGAGAAATAGTTTGCATTAGGACACGAATTCAATTTCTCAGTGGCATTTTTGCTGGCATTGCCTTTGTCAGATCTTAACGTTCCCTCTGTCTCTCGCAGGAAGGAGGTGAAAAACATAATAACATTATTTGTCAGACCATGTGTAAACGAGATACCCATCAGAGATGTTCATTAGGCTGCCATAGACTTCAAGGTTGCTACATAGATATATTGTACTGTGCTAAATTGGAAAGTTAACCAGTAGCCTGTGAGCAAGCTCTCCGCCCAAATAGGAGAGCTTGCTCGCAGGCTAGTTAACCAGTGAATAGACAGTCCACAACTGAAAAAGGTTATAATTTAACACGTACCTCTCCACATCTGCCCCCCTCCCCCTTCCCCCTACACCACCAATCCCCATCCCAGCCAGCACTTCAACTACCACCGGGTTTTATTCAACCCAGTGCAATATATAAGGACCCTATGCAATGAGAACGTTGACATCCAGGACATCAAAAATGGAAACCAGAAGTGGATATATTTTCTGTCTTCCAGTGCTTTGACTCTTCAAATTCCTTCAGTGGAAGGTAAAAGGATTCGTTGTGTGAGACAGAAGCGTTCCATCAAGTGAAACATTGAACTTCCGGTTGCTATTCATGAAGTCCGCGACGGTCAGCGTTCTCGTTGTTTAAGTTCATTTGACACGAAAATGCAATGTGTCACAGGCGAAAGATAAAGAAAGGTTATATTAATTAGATTCACATTTCAAGAGTGTTTTCTTCTTTCCTTAATTATTTCTCTGGCTTTTTATTTAAATCATGATTATATCTTTTTCTTTTTATATTTCTATACACTGTTTCCATTCCCCTTCCCATTCAGGTTCCTGTTCTTTTTTTCCCCTATTTTTCTTACATACCTGAATAAGAATGTTAATTTTAAAAAAATCCATAACTTAAATTAAGATAAATTTTGTCCCTGTTTCTCTTCATCCTGTTTTCTGTTCCTCTTCCCATTACGGTTTCTATCCCGGTTCCGGTTCGACGCTTCCTGTTCCTATTCCTGTTCCTATTCCGGATTCCGGATTCCGGTTTCCGGCTTTTCCAGATGCCCGGGTGCTGTAAGAGCACAGATCTTGTTCTTTGTTTCTTGTTCACAAATTGTGAGTGATTAAATTATTGTGATGTTTTTATTGGTGAATATGATCAAAATGATGGAAATGCTATCAAATTTGTGCACCGTCAGGTCCACAAAAACATATATCAAAGGAGTCTGACAGGATTCATAACCATTATTAACTTAAAAGTGTGTAAACCATTTATCTTTTATTTTTTTCCCATATCTTGCAAAGGTGTTATTCATTAAGTGACACTCAAATTGAGTCATTTCTGATACATTTGTCAAACTCTGCACAAGAAAGAGGTTCATCTGCAACTATGATTGAAATCACAAGGTATTTATATTAGTTAATACAATAAATGCAATTATTGCTTTTTATCCTATACTCATCTGAACCAAATGGACTCTTCTGTGTGTGACCATGTGAAAAATAAGGATTGACTGTCCAAAAACAAAAATAATAATAGTTAATTAATATAATTCAATTATTTTAAATATAGAAAAAAAAAACAAGAGATAATGATCAGAATCTAACTGTATGGACATACAGTGGAGGTTTGGTTATATAATTAACAAATCTCTGTCAGCTAAAACAATCTGTGACTGGCCAGTTAAGTGCAGTACATTGACATTGTTCATTTGGCCTGCCTGTGTTCTTGAAATGCATATTCAATCTACTTTACACCTTTTTGTCTTGCTTAGTATACATTGTACAAAGTGCAGTTGAGGTTTCTATATATATGAAGTAGGCAGTTGTTTTGAGTACAGTATTTGACTGTATTGTTGCAAGGTTTGACAGAATCTTCTTTATGTTTCCTCTTTAGGTTCTCTGCAGCCTGGGAGTACATCCTTAATCTTTCCAAGGAGGAATACTCAGAAAAGATGATCCTTCAGATTTTAGAAATCATTAATAAGATTGCCACAGTTGTTCCAATGTCACTTACAGCCAGTGCAATGGTTCAAGGATTTCAGCAGAGTGTACTGTTTGGTTCAGTCCTTCCTGGTTTCATAAATGTAGTGACTGGGAGACCAAGCCATGTCAGGTATTTTTTTAAAGTTAAGAAGTACTTTTTACATTAATTTATTGAAATTTTTGTCCTTTAACATTCCTATGAAACGGGACAGCATTCTCGACCCCAGTGCTTACGGGTTTGGGAATGCACTGGCCATCAGGCGCAGAAGAGCTCTGGGGTCGAGATTGAAGGCACAGTGGGTATTTCTGCACAGGACACCCAAACACTAGAACAAATTATATCGAATACAGTCAAAGTTCCCATAAGCCACCATGTTGGAAGTCACTCCAAGTGGTTGTATTAACCAGAGCTGTTCACTTAAGAGAATGAGCTCTCACAGGTGACTGCATGGTAAAACAATACAATAGTGGGTGATCGCTTGCAAAAGCCTCAGAAACTCATTACTAATTCATAGGAAAAAAATGAAAATAACGTTTAATGAGTGTTTTACTGATATAGACCCAGTTTTTTTAGACCAAAGTAAAACCCCAAGATCTTTATTAGTAAACCGTTAGCACAGTAGAAACCATTAGTATACCTCAAATAAACAGGGTTTCACAAAGGTGGTCAACTAGTGCTGGTTGCTTACAAGAGTGGTCGCAAGGTTTTGTTTCTTTTTAGTAACTGCTGCTCTATATTTTTTAAACAGCATGGTTCAGCAGATTTTAGAGCACGTCATCACTGCTGTTCCTGCCTCGGGTTTACAGGTGTTGCCCATGGAGAAAGTCCTTGCTCAGAATTTAGTCCAGGGCTCATGCTCCAGTGAATGTGAAGCAAAGGAGAGTGGGCTTACAGCCATAGAGTTTCTTTCAAAGCTGTGTTCATTAACTGCTTCAGAAGTACCTGGAGCAAAAAAAGATCTTGATAAGTTACCATGGAAGGAACTGTCCTTAATACCAGTCACAGAGGAAATATTCAGACCAAGTAAGGATACTGATCAATACATCTGAGGATCTCCAATAGAGTTGTTAAATCCCTTTATCTCACCCAGTTATCCAGATCCCAAACATAGTTTTTAATTATAGTTTTACAGCTAGTCCATATTTTGTCTTTTTTGTGGCAAATAGTTGGAGAGAAAGATGATGCTGTTTCCCTACCAGGATCATCGAAACCACCCTTTTTAAAAAGCCAGTGTAAAAGCGTTTTTTATGAAATTTAGGATAATGCCGATCAGTATAGTTTATTATTTCTTAGTGTATCTTGGTGCTTTAGAACATTATTTCCTGATTCCAAGTCTTTCCTAGAAGTCAACTACAGTAAACTGCTGCTTATTAGCCCTCCCTCCCCCAGTTAAAAGCAACCCCCGCCCCCCCAACAACACCCCAACAATCCCCCCTCCCCTTTTTTAAGCTCAAAACATGTTTTGATTAAAACTGGTGCAGCTTGTTTCAAAGCACTTTTCTATTACGGTTATCAGCCCCCCTCGGATGTTTTAAAAAAACTCCCTCCATTATTTTATAAGCCTTCCTAAAACTTCTTACAAAGATGCATAAGCCCAGGGCTTATAAGTGGCAATTTACGTTATTGAGAGTGTACAAAGTCTTTCTTCCTTACTAAAAACCCAAACAAATTGGTCTTAGAAAGTCTACTCAATTCCTTTATGCAGATCGTAATACTATTATAATATTATAGTTATAGTAATCCCAAATTTCGCCCTCTCTCCCCTTCACCCCTCGTTTTCTCAATAGTCTCAAATTCTCGCCTTCAAAGTTCGAGCCAAATTTCGAATCCGAAAAAATAACCGATTGGGGAACCTGTAGGTTACAAAAGGGTGACCAAGTTATCTTTATTTTTCTTTGGCATGTTACATTCAATGGTCAGTTTTATGAAAATTTTATAATTGTAATTAGGGAGTTCTTAGCTGTTGATTCAAAGTTGGAAAGCGTTAGCTACTCTTGTAAATTACACTTCTAAAAGTTTCTTCTTATTCTTATTTTTTATTTTGTTTTTACTTACCCCTGTGAGAAGGGACTATTTCATAAAGACAACCCACCCATTTACAACGTTAACACTCATGTAGAAGTTTGGTACTAAAGTAAGTTTTTTGGTGTGTAATATTATTAATAGGCTTGAAGACTAGTGATTTGCCAGTGATCCGGGTGAAGGGCAACTATAAATCAGAGGAGGATTACTTGAACACTTACTTTAGACTTCTTCGAGAAGAGTGCTTTTACAAACTGAGGAAAGGAATCAGTGAGTTTGTTGAATATGGAGAAACATCTGGCTCAAAAGACTTGACAATGTACAGGTACAGATAGTTATTTAGGCATTTCCTTTCATAAAGATTATACATATAGTACAACCTCGATAACTCGAACTCCCCGTTAACTCAAACTAAGTCCCATTTTCCTTAGACTTCACTTCACTTTTTACAGTTTGAAATCTACCATTAAAAACATGACAAAATAAAGCCGCACGATACTCCATTTTTTTAAAGTTCGTTTTTCAGGGCATGTATCCCTTCAAAACATCGTTTCAGTGGATTGCCCTTGAGTCTGTTTACGCATTAATCGGGACATTAAGTAAACATAATTTGCTCATAGAAAGACAAAAGCTGGCATGTAAAATGCAATTTAAACTTTTAGAACTAGCCTGAGTGTTAGGGTTTTTTCTAGGCAAGAAAGGCTTAGTAACACCCAAGTTACGTTAACATTGGCTCTCAAAGCACTTAGCCACTTTACCTTGCTTTAAAATACAATTTAAACTTTTAGAACTACAATCTGGGACATAGGTCACGCCGCTCTGATACATATCTTTCTCTCTTCCAATGTTGTTTTGAAATGGTTTTTTTGGTGGAATTGTCCAAGCTCGAGGCCAACATTCAGAGGAAAGAGAAAAGGAGATCCAGCACAACGTGTCAACGTTATTCCTTCAATTGACCCAAGTTCTAATGTCACAGATTGTAGCCTTAGCGTTAGGGCTTTCCAGCTAAGAAAGGCTTAGTAACACCAAGGTCAAGTTTACACTGGTTCTCCAAGCACTTTGCTACTTTACCACCCTTATACTTACATGTTTATACTGCAACTTTTAGTTATTGTTTGACGCTTTTCTTCTTTTTTCTTTCTTTATATTTTTTGAAGTACTTCTATTTTTTATGTTCCGTTAATGGGATGCAATTATTTAAGTAGTTTGCAGGAGTAAGTAATTAAAAGGTACTAATTGGTCAAGAAGTATGAAAAAGACACCCTTTTATCGAGGAAAGGCTTCACTGCATGATACTTTTTTAACCGTTAGATAACACCAACTTGTTAAGAAATATCGAATAAGCGTGTTTCGTAAATTTTGGAGAAAAGACGCGAAGTTGTTTGTAAATAGCGTCGTCTTGAAAACGTTAAAAAAGCCCTAGAAAGCGCGACTTTTACAGTCCTGTGTTTGACAGTTAGATGCAGTAGATGTTAGCTTCATAACCTGTCTTTCAGGGTTTCTCTTCGAGGATGTTCTACCCGCCACGAAAATTCTCCAACTGTTATGCTAATTTCTCTGGATTATGAATTGCCAGATTCGCAAGATGGTCTTGAGAGCGAGTAAGTTGGTTAAAACAAAGTACAAAATATGTTTTTCCAAGTTAAACAGTGACTATACATGTATGAAATAGAAAAAAAAATCAGCTATAAAGATTTCTTTAAGAGAAAATGGATACTGACGCCTTATTTAAGTTAACTGTCTTAATTCAGCATTATTTCATTGCCAGGAGCGGCTGTTGTACTTTTTTCTAATTTCTTTTAGCCCTGCAAAAATTTAGCGATTAATTTTGCTTTATTCTGTTAATGTCTATTGTTAAAATGCTTTTTTGTAGTATTGTAAATTTAATTATCTAATGTGAAAGTTAAACAGTGACTGTATATTGTGCAAACCTTAGCCATGCGCTTTTCTAATACAACTGGTATATATTCTGCAAAAAAAAAAACTATGTAGTTTATTGGTGTTGAAGTAGAGTAAGAGACGAGTGCATCCCCTCCTAAAAAAAATCCTGGATCCGCCCCTGTCTTCGTGGAACCATGCAAAGCTATCCGGTATTGTATGGACAGCAATGGCCCGCGGCGGCATAAGTTGTTCACACATATCGAATATCGTGCCGGAGCGGTTGGTCGAAAAGGTCTGGTCCACTTAATTCCTGTCCTCTCTCCTGAATATTTACTCCCGTCTCAGTGGGTTCCAGTCCTCGCTCCTACTTATTAGGCTGATTTAGCAACGGAACGGGAACGTCATTTGACGTCGGGAAAACGGGCGGAAGGACTAAACTCGACTTCCGGTGCCCAATTTGCTGCTCTGCCATTGGTGAAGCCAGTTGTTTGATTTGCGCGCGCCGTCTTCAACTGACGTTCCTGTTCTGTTACTAAATCAGCCTATTTACTTCCTTGACGGGCCGAATGGGTGTTCACACTGCACCAAAGTATGGCACAAAACCCATCTGTGACGCTCCACTTTCACAGAAATCGGGCCTCTACAACCGTTCTTGTATGTGAAGAAAGGCACTATCCGGTGTGATTTTCTTGGCGGTGCCAAAGCTATCCGGCATCGTGTAAAGACCGAAAACTCACCACGAAAGTTCGTGGGCGCGGCCCACTGGTCCTCTTAATTCTGCATTCACACTGTACCAGCTGAGGTATACTGTGTATAGCTTTGCGCACAACACTTATTAGACAGCTTCACACCTTCTCATGCAGCAGTAATTCGTCCATCTCGCGTTCTTTCGAATTTTTCTAGGCAAGCAGAATGGCTTATGTATGGCAATCTCTTGTGTATCTCATTGGACGGCTCTTTTGAAGAACCTGTTTGGGCCGTGGTAGAAAGACACATTGCTAGTGAAAGGTTTGTTACGAAGTGTTTGAGGATGTTTTTCAAAATAAGCGTATTCTCCAACCCTTGAAGTAATTTGCATGAAAAGTGATTTTATAATACAGTAAGGAGTGGACATATAGTCACAACAATAACACAAGGAAACAAAATTATAGAATAAATTAAAAAGGCACAAAAAAATCTCTTCCTTCCCTGCTAGCAGAGGTTCTCTCCGGCATAGTTTTTAGCCTGTGCGAAGTCGTTCGCGCTGCTGATATTCGTGTTCGAACGACTTCGTACATGCTAAGAGACCATACCGGAAAGAAACCTCTTCTAGCAGGGTACCTCTCACTGAAGGTGATGTCTTCGTGTGTTATGATATGAAAAGTGCAAAGTCCGCCCAATTTTGATTAGTGCTTTAACCAAACTAAGAAGAAAATCACAAAAGGACTCTACCGTTTGAAAGGTACATAGAATTCATAGAATTTCAAGGATTTTACACAAACTAAATTGCATTGATCAGTTGTTGCGGAGATTCGTGAGATAGAATTTTCTTTAGATTAAGTTCACCACGAGACATCTAGCAAAGCTGACGAAATGTCGTAGACACTTGATCACCCCCACAGAAGGGTGCCCGCGGAGAACAACTACTAAAGTGGTAATAATAATAATAATAATGAAAAATAAAGTTAACTGACATGCGAATTTCCGCTGCCCAATACTGCTTATCTTATTAGAGAAAAGACTATAAGGGCATAATGAGCGTTTTCAGAGGCAATTTTGCTTGCTTTTTACTTATTCGAGTCCAATGAAATTTATTATATGATTTCAGGATTGTAGGAATAACCCTTTGCGAAAAGGGTAATACATTATCCGAGCCACAGTTTATTGCAAAGATGCAAGAACTTAAGAACAAAAGTAAGTTTATGCACATACATGACACCAGTAACTAGAGAAAAGTTTCGGAAAAGCAGGGATGTTAAGACGGAATCTACTAGGACATTGGGTAATTTTGATTTTCAGTGAACAAAAATCTTGTACCAGAATAATTTAAAGTATATTGCATTCTTTCTTACATTTTTCAAGGGCTAACGATGTAATAAGTCATTTTTAGTTAAACCAAAAAAAATTGTTATGGGAGCCCAAGAAAATGAATGTCAAATTTCACAAAATTACGTCTTACACGTGAAATTTTTAGAATTTCACCTGTATAATCACAATTCTTGTGAAATTTGACATTTATTTTCTCGGACTTCCATGGAAATTTTCTTTGGTGTTACTACAGATGATTTATTGCATCTTTAGCTCTTGAAAAATGCATAAAAAGAATGCAATATTCTTTAAATTATTCTGGTACAAGATTTTTGTCCTTTTTGTCCTGACGGATTCGGTCTTAATATTTGTGAAACTAAAATCATTAACCTAAGTTATGCCATGTAGGGTTTTTCGGCGATTCTCGTCTCCTCTTAGGATCTTCGTCTTAACCTACGTCAGTTTTTCTCTCCCCTAAAGAACTAACGTTCAACTTATTTCCATTTATTGTCTGATGAACTCTGTGCTCAGAGATCGTGCTAAGCTAGTAACGGCTGTCAGGGGTATGTTGATATGCTTTCGGTTTA